GGCTCTATATGCATGCGAAAATGTATGTGTTGCTGTTGGAGGCTTGAGCGAGGGTGACGGATGCTGACGAGGGCTCCTCTGTACGCGGCTTTTTTCACGACGCGGCGGGAGCGGGGTCGGAGCGAGGCGCGTGCCGCGTGGGCCCGTCCTCGCCGTGCGTGTCCGTGTGGGTGCGTCGTGGCCGGCGCCCCGGCCGCCGCGCGGGGCGCGCGTGTGGCCGGGGGGGTCGTTGTGCCGACGCGAGTCCCACTCCTCGCTGTCACTCGACACTCGTAATCGTACGCACGTAGTAAGACTCAAAACCAACCACGCCCTCACATGCAACTGTAAACAAAACAATGTCGTCTCGCCCGCGGCGCCGGGCGGCGCCGGCCGGCGGCTAGGCGCACCGCCGACGGGCGCCACCTACGACGCTCTACGTACGTACGGCTCTCTGGGCTTTGCACGCCGCTGCGGTCGGCCACAAAGAAGGTGAAAACCGCACCTCAGCCCTGCGTGCTCCCCTTGTGAGCGCTGCCACCGTCCCCTTGATCTCCGCCACCTAGTCGAGCGCGTCGCCGAGCAGCCCCTTTGCCACGCCAAAGTCGCGCAGCTGCTCCACGCCGCCGCTCGCCCGCACCTCGGCGGCGTGGTCCGCCACGCAGCGGCGGCACTGCGCGAGGAGCCGCCCGTCGCCCATCGTGTGCGCCGCCTCGAGCAGCGGCACGGCGCTCGCCGGCCCGACGCTCTCCTGCAGCGCCTGCGCGCAGAGCAGCTCGAGGCGCGGCACTTGGTACATCTGCGCCAGCTGCCGCAGGTCGAGCGCGCGCTGCGCTCTGCCGCCCCCCTCCTCGCCGAGGTCGAGCTGGTCGGTGCAGAGGTAGCGGACGAGGGCGGTGAAGGTGGCGAGATCGGTTTCGAGCACCGTGACCTCGGCGGCCGGGCGGCGTCGGCGCGCTCCTTCATGCCGATGCCGAACATGGTCCGAAACTGGTCTGCTCGGACCGCACGCACCTTGCCGTCGGGAAGAGCGGGGTCGCCGCACACCTTTCCGAGGTCGGCCGCGAGGGTCGAGGGCGGCACCACAATCGGCGCGAAGGAGGGAGGCGGAGGAGGCGCTGACACGCAGACCTGGCGGAGGGAGTCGCTCGTGCAAACCAGAAGAACGCTGCCGATGGTGCTGATGGCGACGCCGAGTGGGTTGCGAAACTGCGCCGCGCCACCCACGCCATCAGAGAAGCCATAGGTGCTGCCCGCGAGCGTGGTCACAGCGCCAGTCGCCACCTCCACCCGGCTCGCACGGCGGGCGGGGGGGGGAGGGGAGGGCATGGTCGGGGTGAGCGCGTTTGGGTACAGCGGCACCATCGCCCACGCCGTGCTCGAGGCGGCGCCGCCCTCTCTCAGCACGTGCAGCCCGCCGCCGCTCGTCTTTGCCCGCTGCCGCTACGCGTGGCGCGAGGCGCCCCGCCCCCGCTCCTCCAGCGGCGAGAGGCGGACGCCGATGGGCGGCAGGCCGACGCCTTCTCCTCGCCGGCCGGCGGGGGGGCCCCTCCTCGCCCTCGTCGCCGACCACGTCGTGCGGGGCCGCGTCGTCTTCCCCGCCGCCGCCTACCTCGAGATGGCTCGCGTGGTGTGCGTCGCCCTCTCCGGCGGCGGCGGAGGCGCGTCGCTGCGGCGCGTCCTCTTCCTGCAGCCGCTCGTGCTGGACGGCGGCCTGAGCGAGGCGCGGGTGAGGGTGGGCGTGATCGAGGACCGGTTCGAGGTGACCTACGAGGGCGGCGGCGACGCGTCGACGGCTCACTGCGCCGGCGACGCGTCGGCCGCGTCGGGCCCGCTCCCTGGCCTCTCGCTCGCCGCGGCTCGCGCCTCGTGCGGCGAGGCGGTCGACGCCGCCTCGCTCTGTCTACTCGCTTCTCCGCTCGGTCGGCCTCGAGTACGGCCCTCGGTACCGCACGCTCGAGGTGGCGGCCGTCTCGCGCGCCGCCGCCGCCGCCGTCGGCCGGCTGTGCCGCCGCTCGCGCAAGGAGGGCGCTCGTGTCCACCCAGCCGACCTCGACGGCTCGCTGCACCTGTCCTCGCTGCTCGCCGAGGCAGGGGAGGGCGAGACGCGGCTGCCCTTCTCTGTGGGCGAGGCGACGCTGGCGGATGCGAGCGGCACGGCATGGCCGGTGGCGGAGCGGGAGGGCGGCGGGGCGGTTGGGGTGGTCATCGCCAGCGGCGCCGCCTCGGCGGGCGTGCGCCTGGCCGGCTTCGAGTCTCGGCAGGCCGGGCAGCCTCGGCGCCACTGGCTGCTCTCGACGCAGCCCTGTCGCTGCTGCGCGTGTGGCTGGCTTCAACGTCCTCTCCCCGCCTCGTCCTGCTGACCGCCGGCGCGCACGCTCATGGAGCCAGCGCCGCGCCCGGCTCCCACCACGCCGGCTCGCTCGGCCTCGCCCGGTTGCTGAAGTCTGCCAAAAACAACGCGCTACCGTCAGGGCTGATGGCGACGCCGCATGGATTGGCGAACTGCGCCGCGCCGCCCACGCCATCAGAGAAGCCATAGGTGCCGCTGCCCGCCACCGTCGTCACCGCGAAGTGACATGCGAGGCTAGAGCAGGCTTGCTCCGCCTCTAGCAAACTCGCCGGCCAGCGGGGCACGGACGAGAGCACGTGTGGGGTCAAGTGAGGTGTCTGTGGGAAGCTCCCTCTCGGGCTAGGGACCTGTCCCTAGCGCTTGCCCTCGCTCTCATGCAGATGATGAGCTCAGCACCAGGCCCTCAGGCCTGGCTGGCTGGTGCGCGAGTCGAGGTGCGTGATACTCGTTCTAGGCCGCATGCCATGGGCATTATAACGTAGGTTGGCGTGCGGCCGCAGCGCGCCCGCCGCGGGCTCGGCGGCGCGCGCACGCGAGTTGAAGGTTTGCTCGTAGAGCTATTCGAGTCTTGTTGAAGACGAGGCCTCTGCGACGTATGCCAGCCCGCGCTGCGGAGCCTCGCCATTCGGAGCCGCATCCCGCCGGCACCGTCCTTGAGTGCGCCCCGCCGTGGCGAGACGCACTCGACGAGGACGGCTTCGCCGGCGGTACCGAGTCGCGAGCCGGCGACAGCCACACACACACACACACTCACCACTCAACCCTCTCGCAAAAAGAATTCTCCGGGCCAAATGCTCGCCTCCGCCCGCTACGAGCTGCGGCTCGCCGCTCTTCCGCCCGATGCCCTAATCGCGATCGCCGCCGGCGCGATGCGGGACAGCGCCGCTGCAAACAGGAGGGCCGAGGCGCTCCTCGCGCACCACAGCCCTCCGCCCGCCGTCGCGACCGACGTCCTTGCGGACCCGGACCTTGCGCCGTGCGTGCTCGAGAAGACGGGCCTGGGCCACGCGGCCGTGTGCAAGCGGTGGTCCCTGATCTGCGCGCCGCGCGGTGCCTTCGCGCGGCTTGTGGAGACCGCTGGCGATGCCTCCTCGGAGCTGCACGCTGCTGCGCTCGGAGAGCTCAGGCGGCTGTCGGGAGAGGAGGCCGGCGGCAGGCGGACGGAGGCGCTCGTCTCTCTCTTGCGGGTTGGAGACGAGGACGAGAAGGCGGACGTCGCGGAAACGCTCCAGGAGCTTGCCCGCGACGACGATGAGAGCCGGGTGGCGATTGCGGCGGCCGGCGGCATCGAGGCCCTAGTCGCTCTGGCTCGCGATGGGAATGAGAGGCAGAAGGAGCATGCGGCGGGGGCGCTGTGGAACCTCGCTTACAACGACGACAACAGAGTGGCGATCGCTGCGGCCGGCGGCATCGAGGCCCTGGTCGCGCTGGCTCGCGATGGGAATGAGGCGCAGAAGGAGCGTGCGGCGGGGGCGCTGTGGAACCTCGCTATCAACAACGACAACAGCGTGGCGATTGCCGCGGCCGGCGGGATCGAGGTCCTCGTGTCGCTGGCTCGCGACGGGAATGAGGCGCAGAAGGAGGAAGCGGCGGGGGCGCTGTGCCGCCTCGCTATGAACGAAGACAACGAGGCGGCGATTGTTGCGGCCGGCGGCATTGAGGTCCTCGTGCCGCTGGCTCGCGACGGGAGTGAGAGGCAGAAGGAGGATGCGGCGGGGGCGCTGTCGAACCTCGCTCACAACGACGACAACAGCGTGGCGATAGCCGCGGCCGGCGGCATCGAGGTCCTCGTGTCGCTGGCTCGCGACGGGAATCAGAGGCAGAAGGAGTTTGCGGCGGGGGCGCTGAGGAACCTCTCTGCCAACAACGACAACGTGGCTGCGATTGTTGCGGCCGGCGGGATTGAGGTTTTCATGTCGCTGGTTCGCGATGGGAATGAGGCGCAGAAGGGGCGTGCGGCGGCAGTGCTAGCAAACCTCGCTGACAACAACGACCACAAGGTGGCGATAGCCGCGGCCGGCGGCATCGAGGTCCTCGTGTCACTGGCTCGGGACGGGAATGAGAGGCAGAAGGAGAACGCGGCGGGAGCGCTGTGGAGCCTCGCTATCAACGACGACAACAGCGTGGCGATAGCCGCGGCCGGCGGCGTGGAGGTCCTTATCGCGCTGGCTCGCGACGGGAATGAGGGGCAGAAGGAGGAAGCGGCGGGAGCGCTGTGGAACATGATTGAGGTAGCACCTGGCACTCACGAGGGCGTCGTCGAGGCTGGCGGTGTGGCGGTCCTCTCCACTCTCACGCAGGAGGCAAGCGCCTCGGACGACTGCAAGCTCGCTGCTGCCGTATCCCTTGTGTACCTGGCCAGCACCCGTCCCGACCTCCCCGCTGACGACACTTGCCTCTCGCTGCTCCTCTCGCGGCTGGACCAGCCCGAGGGAAATGGCTGGCGCAGAGACAGCATCAACGCCCTCCTCGCCCTCGCAGCCTCCTCGTCTGCGTGCGCTGAGCAGTGGCACCGGGTCGGCGGCGTTGCGGCGCTGCAGGCGCTGGCGCGAGAGACGGCGGAGGAGGGGGTGGAGAGGCAGGCGGAGAGGTGCGACGAGGCGCTAGTCAGCCTCGGCGTGAGGAGGGTGCGCAGGCGGGCGGCCGCGTGAGCCAGTTGCGTGAGCTCTTGAGCAGTTGGAGTGTCTTGTTTTGATGGGTAGCACGATTACTGAGGCGGACGCGACTCAAAGCCTCGCTTTTTTCGCCTGTGTTAGTGCCAGTGCGCGCCAGTCCCGTGCCTAGTGAGTAGTGTGGGCTGTGTGGCGCGAGATAATAAATAAAACGGACACCTCTACTAGGAGATGGGTAAAAAGGAACAGGTCCCCGCCCTGCGGTCTTTGTGCAGGGTTCTTTGTGGGTGTGGTCGGCGACTAGCCGGGGTCGTCCTCCCGATGGGGGACTAGCACTAGCCGTCTTCCACATGGTCCCTCGGGTCCCTGCTGCTCCTAATCTCGTCGTACATCCTCCTGCTGATCTCCGCAACATCCTGCTCCCTCCCTCGTCTCGCCCTGCGCGTCTGCTCCGCCTCCCCGTCGTCCGCCCTGCGTCGTCTGGTGACGGGTCCTCCATAGTCGGTTGAGGTCGCCGCCCTCCTCGTGCCTCTTCCCAACGTTCCCTCGGCGGCCGATGCCGTCTGCTCCGGCTCCCCAGTCCCCGGGTCTGCCCTGCCCTCGTCTGCGCTAGCTTCTGTTTCGTCATCACTGATGTCCGTCCTCTTCTTTCTCCTCTTGTTGTATGCTTTGTACATCGCGTCGATTCCTTTTCGCGTGAGCACCAGCCTGAAGCCCGCCCAGCAGCTGAACCGCTCCCTAAGTCGAAGGAGCATCATCAGTCTCACCCACTTCGCTCGCTGCCGACTGTCTCCGCTCCCTCCCGCTTGGGCCGCCGTCGCGTCCCTCGTTCGTCCCACTGGCTGTTGGCCTGTCCCCTCGTTACCTCTGTTATCCCTCCTCCTCCGCGACTCCCTCAAGGCTGGCCGGGCCTCCTTCCACCCAGCGAAGAGCTTCCTCAGCCACTCAATGTGTTCCTCTCTCTTCATTATGCGCGCAGTAGCCTCATCGTTGAGCTGGATCCACCTCTGCACCGCTCCCGTCGCCGCCTCGGCCACGACTTGCAAGTTCCTCGTAACCCCGGCGCCAAGGTCCCTCCGACTCTTCTCCGAGAGATCATCTACCAGCGCCGGCAACACCCCCCCGACGGCTGGGGCTAGTGCATCGTACCCGTCCTCATCCAGCACCCTATAGCGTGAGCCCTTCAGCGCAGCGACATGCGCTATCCTCAGCGTCTTCAGTGTATCCTTGGAGTCGGGTGCCGCCTGGGCTACTTTGCTGATCGCCGTCCCCGTCTGCGCTCGCGCTACTCTGAGGAACCATCTGGCCTGCTCCCTATTCCCCAGGCAGGCGCCGCTAAGCAAGTGCGCCATTGTCGCCCTAGGCGGGTTCTCATCTTCCTCGGTCCATTGCTGCGCGGC